CTCCACGGTCAGTTGCTCGGATGCTTCCCTTGACAGAGGCGCTGTGTGCAGTACTGTTGTCGACCCGACTGTCGCGGAGCACCTTTGGCAGACTGCTGGCCAGAAGGGCTGGTACACTCGGCTCCACGGGCCCGATGCAGAGCCAGAAACCCTATCGGCCGAATTGGATTGTCATGAAATCTGCAGCCCTCCAAGTCGGCTATCAGCTTGCCGGCGCGTGCGGCTCAGGCTCTTCACCGCCCCGGCCGCAGAAGGACTTCGAGAGCGGCCGGCCGTACTGGCGCTACTCCGATTTGTTTAATGGCATCACGGGGCGGAGGCCAATCCTCAAGCGATCTATGCAGGCCTCCTGGGATCTCGCCTTCTCCTGGATGGCCCTCGAGCCCTCGGTCACGAGCATGATCGTATGTGTTTGGTTTGGACGTAACGGAATACTGCCGTCCCTGCAGCACTGGCTCAGGACGGCATGGTTTCCGTTCCGGGTTTAACTTTTGCGCTGGGTTTTCTGATTGCTTCAGCTTGACTTTGCTGCTTGATAGCTCAGTGTTTTTGCCCTCACGGTTTCCGTAGCTGTCCTTCGCCATGGCTTACTGATCTGCCTTTACAGGCCGATCCTCTCCTTCACCTGTCCGGTCGGTTCCGCTGCCCGTGCAGGTCTTCGGCTGGTCTACTCTCCGAGTTACTCCGGCCTGAGGCTCAGACAACGTCTGACTCTCCTTTGGGTAGCCTGCCTCCGGCAGGTTTACCCGCAGATCCGTTCCGCCGGTTCGGATCTCTATGGAAGAACACCTCGACCAGATCTCGGATGAGGACCGTTCCGCGACCGGTTTCTCTTTCCACTCTGGTCCTGGTCAGGACTCGGATCCGGACCCCTCTCGGCCCGGCCCTCAGTCCTTTTCAGAGAACATTTGCTCCAGCCCGGCTCGGTCAGGTCAGTGGTCACCCCGTGTCCTCTCGATCTTGACCCTGTGCCCCGTCGCTGTTGCATGTCTGCTTCACTCTTCTGGTAGCATCTGCAGATTAGCCTGCTGCTCTGGTCACAGTTGCTCTGTCCAGCTTGCATGCATGCGTCGTCTGCCCCGCTGCCGTTTTGGTTCAGATCTTTGGCCTTGGGCCTTTCCTTTCGTGCTTTCTGCTTTCTTGACCTTGACCTCCGGTCCGGTCATGTCCCGGCGCGCCTCCTCGGACAGCCGGTCCCCAGCTGGCCCACCCGCCCCATCCGGTCCGGTAGTCCTCAACCACCCCGGGTGAAATCTTGGAGGTGCTCGAGCATGCCGGGCGAGATGATTTCGAAACAGCCCTGGGGCAACTGAACGCAGCCACCTTAGGGCAGTTGCAGCACTCCATGTCCGGCGCCTTGGTGGACCTTCTGCCGGCCCGATCCCGGTCCGCTGCCCGGTCCGCGGATGTGGATATGCCTCCGTCCCCGGCCACCGACACCTCTCCGGCTGACCCTCTCCCGGATACGGTCCCTGCTGCTGGCCCCCCCTCCCGGCACCGGTCACGCCGCCACAGGCTCCCGGCCCAAGCTCCGGCCCCGGCCCCAGCTCCGGCACCGGCGAAGGCTCCGCCCCGCCCGCTGTCCGCCAGCCCCCCGCTACGCCCGGTCCATCACCGGTCCGGACAGCTGCCGGTGGGTCCCGCGTAGCGACATCTCCGGTCACCGGGCCAACCCTCCCTGGACCTGCTCAGAGGGTTGGCAACTGTCGCGCCTCGGCATAGATATCGAAGGCCAGCAACATGAAATCACCCGGCCGGACCATTGGCCGTACGCTGATCTTTTCATACTCGAACGGTCCCAACTCCCCTGGTGGGTTCACATCCCGGACCCCCCCGCTCCCCTCGCCCACTTGCCGGTCCGTGGGTTCTGTACCCGGCCCTGTGCCGCTCTGGTCACCAACGCCTCCTGGCGCAGCCGTCAGTGTTACGGGCTGTGCTTTCGTCCGGTCCACTTGGGCGAACACTCCGGTCACAACAACCACTGTTGCTGGAACTGCTTAATCCAGCGGCCCCGGCCCGACAACAATTGACTAGATGATCCGGTGGATCCGGACTCCTCCGGTTCGGAAGCTTCTCCGGTCTCCCCTCCGGTTCCGTTGCATTCTTTGTCGGAGGAGTCCCTGTCCAACTGGTCTTCGGCCAGTGACGCCGTCTCTTTTGACTCTTCCGCAATGGCCTGGGAAGTCGACTGGCCTCTCACCGGGGACGGGTCCGGCCGCCTGGTTGCCCAATCCGGTCGAACAAGCCTGGACTCGCTTGTACAGACTCTCCGTTACCGGTTTCTCATATATGAGTGCCGGTCTTACGGATGACCGGTCCCTTGGCTTCTACTTCCGCGGCAATGTCAGCTTGGAACGCTTTCCCCCGTCACCACGAACTTTACAGCTGGCCTCCCGTAGATAAAACCTGTAGCCATTGAGCTGTTATATCTCTCCGGTCACGTTTATCTACGGGAGCCGCAGATTTTCTTAGCTTGCAGCCGGTGCGGTTTTGCGACCGCGTCCGGGCTTGCTACCGACCGCTTCTGGGCAAAAGTTGCAGCGTGACTTCTTGCCCTTAGCTGACTTTCTCTGTCCAGTGCTGGTTTTGCTTGCTTTGCTTCTGTCTGCCTCGGCCAGGTACTTCTTCGACTACCCCGCTCTGCCGACGACTCGGACACGGAATCTGCTCTACCAGTTCCAGGCCGGAGGGTTTGCGTGGTTCGCCGGTTTCGGGCAGCGGACGCACCGCCGTGCCCCCCTGCCCCGGCCTCTCCGGTCCGGTTTCTGCCTGCCTCGCCGGCTTTCGCTGGCGCGGTCTCTCCGTGCTCTCGGCCTCTGCGTGCGCGTTCCAGGTCGCCCCTTTCCCTTCTTTCTGGTCCGGTTTCGTCTTCTGATGCAAACGTGAATCCTGAGCATCTGGCGCTCTCTCTGGTTCCGCGACCGCCTCGGCCGTCTCCTGCCATTGACTCTCCGGATCGCTCTTCTCTCTCGAGCTGGGCCAAGGTATCTATTGATTTCGCGGAACCCGTGAATCGCTGGTCGGGCCTTGGGCTTCGGCCCTCGTACCGTCCGCCCGTGCTCCACTCCGGCCTTCTCTCCGGGTTCCGGCCTACTTCTGCGCCCTCGGTCCCCTTCCGTTCTGTTTCCGTCTCCCACTCGGACCCCTCTCCTTCCGAACCCCGGGAGGCCAGCCCTCCTAAGATGGCTTTCTCGGTTGCCAGGCTGGCTCCCCACGTTCCAGTCTATCAACCTCTTCCAGCTTTTCGGGTCCCCGAGGTGGTGGCTACTACACCCTTCCCCGCTCCGGGTTCTTCGGCCCTTCCGGCTCCTCTTCCCTCTGAGGCTCCTTCATCCATGCGTGGTCTGGCCGAGGCTTCTATGCAGAAGCTCCGTGACACGTGGCTCACTCTCATAAATGAGTTTGGTGAAAACTCTGCGTTGTTCACGTCCACTCGGGCCTCCTCACAGCCCGAGGCCCTCATTGTCCGGGTCATTGTCGCCTT